GGTTTTTTATGTGCCTGTGACCTCCAAAAGGACACCAGATCTGGGGCATACAAATCCCTATCATCCATACTATAATCCCAGTTCCCATTTCAGTTTCCATGGCCTTTTCCATTTGATTCTCCATCATTGGACGTAATATCCCCAAACCTTATAAATCCAAAACCCTAAATTTTGGGAAACCCCCACACGTGAGGCAGAGGCCTTCCGGCCAATAAGATGGGGGTGCGCAGGTAACAACCTGACTTTCCGGCAGCTTTCCGAAAGATTCAGGGTTTAGGTTGGAAGTAAGGATTAGGTTGTAGGGGTGTAGGGCTTTCTGAAGGCTGTAGGGATTGCTGTTTAGGGTGGAAGTGCCAAGACCCTATCAGTGCCCTTAAATTGGGTTGAGGGCCACGAATAGTGAATAGTGGGTACTGCGACCAGAACTGCCAGAACTGAGAGTGGTTGGAGGGTCTAGGTACAAACCATCTTCAACATTGCTTTAACTGGGCCCTACTCCCTGCTCATTCATTGCCTGAGTTCTGCTTCATATGACCAGTCTTGGATTTTCAGGACCCTTGAACCATGGTAGAACAAGGTAAGGGATTCACTGGTGTGGTGGAAACCTTCGTACTTTTGAGGCGTCGGATCTAACCCTGCAGTGAACTTTAAGGCCCCTTCTGCGGCTCCGACTAAAATTGTGCCTCATTCTGGTTCATAGGCGACGTTGGGAAAGAAGGGGCTAACTAGGCAGTCTGCCAGAAGCATGCCAATAGGGCCCCGAAGGAGCCCCTTCTTCGGAACCCTAGAACAGCGGAGTCTAGCGTAAGTATGGAACCGCCTATGGATCGAGGCAGTGTATTTTGCATAGGGTGATGCAGGAACTTGTCGGGCTGGGCAGCAGTTTCCCCCGGTCATTCTGCTGCAGACGCTCGGGCTACCCCTACATCCGAAACTCCAGATGATCGGCCTTAAAGCATTGGGTCCTCAATTGCAGGCCTTGTGAGTTGAATCGAATAGAATTTTGGGGCTGTCAATGACTCAGGCGTTAGATAATTCAGGGGTTGAAGGCGTTGATACTTGAGATTACATTATGTTTGGGATTCTTCTCATAAAGTTCTACAACCCAAGAGCATCCCGCCGCACGGAGAAAGGCCAAAATGAAAACATAGCTTCAGAATGCTAAGCCAAGCCGGCAATGTGTGAAGCCTAGATCTCATCGATCCCATGCTCTAAAACCCTATTACCCGATACCACAAGCCCCATAATACAGCTTAAAACATAGCTCCATATTAACTTCAATAAGGGGATCCTAAACCTTGCGTGATTCAGCGCGGAGCCCCATTTCTTCGACAAAGACTGCACGCTCCCTTGGGCAGCCCGACGCGTCCCATGAACTCGACTCGAGCCAAGTGTAGGGCCACTGGAACCTTTCGTGTTGAGGGTCGTTTTGAGGCTTAGGTTGAAATCTTGGGGTGGTTATCTTTAACGCTTAAACGGCTGAGGGTTTTAGGACCAAGCGTGACTTTGGGCTTGGGGTAGCCACCTGAAACAGAACAAGCTGAGCATTCCTGGGCCAACTGTAAATGCGTTTTCCTAAAACCCCTCTGCCAATTACCCTTGCTAACTTCAGCTCCATCCCTCAAAAACATGGAGCTGTCTATCCCAAGACCAAGGAGTATCAGGGAAGTGGCGACTACAATATCTGGCTGGCCTGAAGCTTTCAAACTTTAGCGCCTGTTGCAAAGACGCTGCTACATATGTTAGACCCTCGCCCCAGAAGTTATGGGGATTCCTTGTGAAGGTTCGGCAACACTGCTGCTCCGAAAGGGAGAGAAGCTAACAGGAACTCACGCTGCACGAACTTCAGAGATAAACACCCATGTTCGGG